GTTGGATTTCGTTACAATATCGCGTTTGGATTTCTCTTTACGACCATTGTTACAGGAGCTCTTTGTAGTATCCCGCTTTAAACTTTTGCTACGGGTCTTATCTGCTACGGGTCTTATCTGCTACGGGTCTTATCTGCTACGGGTCTTATCTGCTACGGGTCTTATCTGCTACGGGTCTTATCTGCTACGGGTCTTATCTGCTACGGGTCTTATCTGCTACGGGTCTTATCTGCTACGGGTCTTATCTGCTACGGGTCTTATCTGCTACGGGTCTTATCTGCTACGGGTCTTATCTGCTACGGGTCTTATCTGCTACGGGTCTTATCTGCTACGGGTCTTATCTGCTACGGGTCTTATCTGCTACGGGTCTTATCTGCTACGGGTCTTATCTGCTACGGGTCTTATCTGCTACGGGTCTTATCTGCTACGGGTCTTATCTGCTACGGGTCTTATCTGCTACGGGTCTTATCTGCTACGGGTCTTATCTGCTACGGGTCTTATCTGCTACGGGTCTTATCTGCTACGGGTCTTATCTGCTACGGGTCTTATCTGCTACGGGTCTCGCTTCAGCAGCACAACTGAGAACCTCAGCCTGGAATCGCTTCTTGTCTGCTGCTGTGATGTTGAATGAGAGAGTCTTTGCTGCTCGCGTGTTGTGAGGCGCATCCACTCGTGTACGCGTGCGGGAGGGAAAGCGTGGGACCGTGGAGTTCCGCGTACGAATTCCCCTGACTTGTCTTGATACACTACCAGCAGCCCACCGCCCTTGGTATGTGCTTCTCACACTGCCACAGCCCAAACCCAGAACCTTACGCCCCCTTCTCCCCCCTTTCTCCCGCATTGTCCCCCTTTCTCCCCCCTCGCATTTCTCCCATCTTCTCCCCCCTTTCTCACCCTCCCCCCTGTCTCTCCACTTCCCCCATCCCTTTGTGCTGGCCAATTCCCACAAGCACAGACTGATTTCGTGTGGCTCAAGAAGGACATCATTCTCATCACATTCGCCATCTGCTGGTAATCACATTCGCCATCTGCTGGTAATCACATTCGCCATCTGCTGGTAATCACATTCGCCATCTGCTGGTAATCACATTCGCCATCTGCTGGTAATCACATTCGCCATCTGCTGGTAATCACATTCGCCATCTGCTGGTAATCACATTCGCCATCTGCTGGTAATCACATTCGCCATCTGCTGGTAATCACATTCGCCATCTGCTGGTAATCACATTCGCCATCTGCTGGTAATCACATTCGCCATCTGCTGGTAATCACATTCGCCGTCTGCTGGTAATCACATTCGCCGTCTGCTGGTAATCACATTCGCCATCTCCTTGTAACCACATTCGTCGTCTGCTGGTAACCACATTTTGCCTTCTCCTGGTAACCACATTCGCCATCTCCTGGTAACCACATTCATTTTTTGGTAAACACATTCGCGTAACCACATTCGCGTAACCAGATTCGCTGTCCGCTGGTAACCACATTCGCCGTCTGCTGGTAACCACATTTGCCATCTGCTCGTAATCGCATTCGCCATCTTCTGATAACCACTGTGTTCAAGGGGTCTAGTGAGATGTGCGTCCGTTCACAGCATGCTGGTGACTGTCAGCAGCACCCCGCACACACGCGTCCTTTTGCAACATGCCATCGGTTTTGCAACCGTGGTCAGCTGAGCACCATCGTTTGGTATTCAAGTTGGTTGGTAACGTTATGACGTGTGGTGAGAAGAGGAGTCATTCCGCATGCTCTGACCGCGGTCCTTCTCCTCTCCAATGCACCCGTCCCATCCTCCTTCACTCCAATGTGTCCGTGCGTGCATGTTTGTGCGTGCATGCGTGTGTGTGTGTGTGTGTGTGTGCGTGAATGTGCTTGCGTGCGTGCAAGCGTGTTTGCGCGGGTGCGTGCGTGGGTGCACATGTGAAGAGCAGGTGGTTGGTCACTTACTGTCCGCGAGACATGGGCTACAAGACATTCAAGCTCAAGCCCATCAAGGTGTGTGTGCATATGTGCATGTGCTCATATGTGCATGTGCGCATATGTGCATGTGTGCATATGTGCATATGTGCATGTGTGCATATGTGCATGTGTGCATGTGTGCATGTGTGCATGTGTGCATGTGCGCATATGTGCATGTGTGCATATGTGCATATGTGCATGTGTGCATATGTGCATGTGTGCATGTGTGCATGTGTGCATGTGTGCATGTATGCATGTGTGCATGTGTGCATGTGCATGCGCATGCGTGTGTGCGTGTGTGGCGAGCAGGTGGTTGGTAACTTACTGTCCGCATGATATGGGCTACAAGACATTCATTCATTCAGCTTGAGGCAGCTTGAGTCTTGAAGCATGTGGTTATGCCATGCATGGAGGGCGCAACACATGCATGGAGGGCGCAACACATGCATGGAGGGCGCAACACATGCATGGCAGGCGCAACACATGCATAGCTCCATCGCACACTCTTAAACTCCAGCCCTTGTCTCACCCCTTCTCATGCCTTCTCTCCCATTCGCACCCCTTCACATTCTCTTTCACCCCATTTCACTGGTTCTCATGGATTTTCACCCCTCCTCACCCCTTCTCACCCCTTCTCACCCTTCTCATCCTCACCTCTCCCCCCTCTCCCCCACTGCGTGCATGACACCAGGTGCTGTGCAAGGCAGCATCAGGCCTAGCGCGCACCAACGTCATTCTCTCCATGGTGGGTGCCCTCTGCGCCTCTACCCACGCCTGCCCTGTGTGCCCTGTGTCTGTGTCTGTTGCAATGGGAGGGGTGCAATGTCGTTTGTGTGCTGTGCTGTGCTGTGATCGGGTCACCAGCCACAGAGCATCAGGCCTTGCCTGCATGCAACGCAGCATCTGCCCTCCTCTGCCCGCACGACTATACGTCCTCCCGTTATGGGATCCATACCCCTGTGCTCTACACCTGGGCTAGTTCTGAGGCGCATCACCGTCCTCTTGCTCTCTTTTTCTGCTAGTTTTGATGCGCTGATAAATGAAACGAGAGTTCTGAGGCGCCTCAAGACTCAAAAACCCGTGATCCCATTCTGTTGCTTTTTCTGTTGCGTCTGCCTGAAATCATCACTGTCTTCGACACACCTCAGAGTCCGAGTGAACACCAGTTAGGTGCCATTGGGTTGGCTCGACACGTGGCAGCAACCCTTAGGATGCAACACCAGTGTTACCTCAGAGCATGTGTCTCTTCTCTTACCCTTCCATTCCCCCCCTTCGCCTGCTGTGAGCCTGCTTTGTCTCCCTCTCACCCCAGGTGGATGCAGCAGTGCAACACTCCGGTGTGCATGTCACTGTAGCTCCTCAAGAGACTGTAATATCTCATAAGCCTCTGTTCATTCCATTCTGCCTGTGTGCCTGCCCCTCTATGCCTGCTGTGCATGCTCTGTCTCCCCATCCCCCAGGTGGACGCAGCAGTGCAGCACTTTGGTCTGCATGTCACACTGGCGCCTCTCTTCATCGGCACGCTCTCCGGTGCGCCTCTGCTTGCACCTTTTCACTCACACTCTCATGCTTTCCGCAATTGGTGGGCGCTCCTTGTGCGGGCGTGCGGGCGTACATACATGCAGCAGGGATGCACTAAGGCGTTAGCACGATGGTTCACTGAGTGGGCAGGAAGGATGCTTCGGATAATGCACCACACAGCGGTGCAGTGATGGACACCTTCTGGAGCATGCTACCACTCAGAGCGTGATGAGAGAGCATGATGTGCAGTGCAGTGCAGCGCAGTGCAGTCTGCCATGCATGCATCCAACACTCCCACCTATACTGCCTTTTCATGTCCACGAATCACTTCCCTCTTCCCCCTGTCACTGCGCCCATGCCATGGAGAGCGCCTTAGTAAAGCCTGGTGGCTTTTGAGACGTCTCAAAAGTCATGCCGTGTAGAGCACCGTGGTGCACACGGCCATGAGAGGAGAGACTGCCTTATCTACCACGCTGTGCCTGCCCGCATCTCCCTCCTTTCCCTCCTAATATCCCCCTTCATGATCGTCGACCCCATGGCCCCCCGTGCACCAGGCTGTGGAGGCTGCCTCATCTACGATGCAGTGCTCGCCCTCGTCTCTCCCTCCTTTCCTTCCCGTTTCCCCTCCACAACCCGTCTTCTACTTTCCCACCCCCCCATGACCCCATGTGCCAGGCTGTGGGGGGCGTCTGGTATATGATGCAGTGCTGGCCCTCGTCTCTCCCTCCGCTTCCAATCATCCCGAGCTGCTCTACCCCTCCTGGTGCGTATCAACCCCACCAAGCCCTCAACCATGAACTTAAAACCCCTCATCCTGGAATCTGAACCGTGGGGCTCTGAACCCGAATGCTCGCTGTGTGCACGTCAGTCAAGTATGCCGTGCCTTATCGAGCCTGCCCACTACTGTTTGCTGGCCCCAGTTCTCGAAGCTTCAATTGAGCGCACTGCAATGCAGATACTTGTGTTCCCACACACGAGCTGAGTTTTGAGACGTTTCAAGGAGCTGCTTTTGAAGTCAATACTCGTGTTCCCACACACGAGCTGCACTTGCGTGTTGTGTGCTCCTAACGGAATTCCTCGTCTCCCTTCCCCAACGGCCTCTCTTATGCTCCTTCCTGCTCACTGCACACATGGGCAACTGCTTCGTGCTGCTTTCTCTCCTGGCCTGTGTGTCTTTCTCACCACAGCTACTCTCGCTCGGCCTTCATGGTCTCGCTCCTCTACACCCTCACGGTGCACTGGGAGGCATGCTGCTTCACACATGGAGCATCTGGGGCCAGGGGCTATCACCTCTGCCATGGTCACCACTACCACATGCCACTCTCACCTGCTGCTCTCCCTCCTCCCCTCCTTTCCGCACCTCCTTTCCTCACCTCCTCACCTCCCCTCCTCTCCTCACCTCCTCTCTCCCACCCCACAGGTACTCGCGTTCCGCCTTCCTCATCTCTCTCTTTAACACAGTAGCAGTGCATTGGACGGCATGGTGCTCCAGACATGCAGCCTATGGGGCTATCACCACTACCATGGTCACCACTACAACATGCCACTCTCACCTTACCCACGCCACCCCCTCCACTCCTCCTCTCTTCTCCCAACCCCACAGGTACTCGCGCTCGGCCTTCCTGGTGTCGCTCTTCTACACAGTGGCAGTGCACTGGACGGCATGGTGCTCCAGGCATGCAGCCTATGGGGCTATCGCCTCTGTCATGGTCCGTACATTTGAGTTGACTTGCGCATGTACCACACACACCCTGCTCGCTTATGCCGTTCCTGCTGTGACCTGCTGTGCCTGCCTGCTGCTGTTCCTCCCACTGCTGCCACCGTTGCCACCTCTGACTCGTTGTTGCTTCCAAGGCTTGGCACATCCCTGCCTTCCTGTTCATTCATTTCCTGCTTCCCTTTGCTCTTACGCCCTTCTCTGCACCACTACCCCTCACCCCTTCCCCACCTCCCTCCCAGCATCCCCACCTTTTCTAACTTGGTATACAGCTACCACCTTCCCCGCCCTTTCCTTCTTCTCAAAACACATGATCCTTTTCCTTTCGTTCCTTCCCCCATCGCCCACACCCCTTACCCCTCCACCTCGCCTACACCCTCCTCATCCCGCCTGCCCTGTTCGTACTACCAGGTGGCCCACAGTGCGTGGGAGGTCGTGACCGACTCACATCTGGACCCCTCTGCACCGCTCTTCAACCTCTTCCACTCCCTGTTGTCAGTTCTTCTGCTCTCTTCTTCCCCCCTCCCTTCCTCTTTCTCCCTGACTGCCATCCTGTGCTGAATGCATGCCACATGCATTCCACATGCTCACATCCATGTGCACATGCATTCCACATGCTCACATGCATTCCACATGCTCACATGCATTCCACATGCTCACATGCATTCCACATGCTCACATGCATTCTACATGCTTCACATGCATTCCACTTGCATTCCACGTGCATTCCACTTGCATCCCACGTGTGCAATCCACATGCATTCCACGTACACTTGGCATGCATGCCACATGCACACCGCACCATGCACACCGCACCATGCACTGTCCTTTTTCCGTGGAATGCCAGGATGTTCAACCGTGTGTCTCCAGACTTCTCACACTTCCATCACCCTCACACCCCTGTCACCCTCAGACTCCTCAGACTCCTCTCCCTTTCACCCCGCCCCTTTCTCCCTCATCCCTCTTCTCATGTTTCCCTCTTGGTTCTTGCCTCCTCTTCCTCTCCAGGTGCATCCCGCCCCCTCCTGCTACCCACGCATCACCCCACCATGGCCCTGCCTCTCACGCTAAGCCCAATACCCCTGCTTCTACCAACGCCACCACCACACCATCTGCTGACGCCAGCAGACCATCCCCTAACAATCCACAGGCCAGCAGCAGGGGCGAGCAGGGAGCAGTGCGGCGCACCAAGAGCAAGAAGACGTAGCTGAATGGGGGGGTGTGAGGTGGGCGGTGTATGGTAAGGTGGGGGGGTGTGCAGTGAGATGGCGTGGGGCGAAGTGGTGTGTGGTGAGATGACGTGAGATGGGGGTGGCACTGGCATTCTGCTTGGCACGAGAGCTGCAGCAGAGATTAAGGAGGGGGTGAGGCTTTCAATGAAGAGAAGGGTGGAGGGTTGGATGGTGGCGGATTGGAGGGTGGAGGGGAGGAGGATGGAGGATTGGAGGGTGGGGGTTTGGAGGGTGGAGGGGACGAGGATGGAGGATTGGAGGGTGGAGGGTTGGAGGGTGGAGGTAAAAGGGGAGCAGCAGTCTTTCCGCTTCACACCTCACTCGCTGCACATTCACCAAACTCGTCACATGCAGACCGTATTTATTGACGCCCTCTTGCTGCTGTGACTTGTCAGTCAAGCTCAAAAGTCACCTCTTTCACCAAACTCGTGTCACATCACATGTAGACCATATTCATTGGCGCCTTCTTGCTGCTCACACCGCCTGCGTAGAGTGCAAATACTATTGATCTGTGATTTTATCATTTATTTATTTATTTATTTGTCCCTGTGCCTGTCGAACAAGCCACTCATACGGCACTTGCATCGCTAAAAGGAAACAGTTATGTGCCACTCATCCCTGTAACCTAGTGAAAACTAAGAACAGAGGACCAATCACCAGCTGCAAGCTAAGCCCTCTTCACACATCAAACGTCCCGGCTGGGTGGGGCCCTGTGCCCGCCAAAGAAGCTGCCCGGAAGGCACTTGCGGTCGAAGGGACCAGGGAACACCTTTTTGCCTTGAGCCTCCTCCCATGATGTGAACTCCCTGAACTTGATGGGCGGCTTGCCGAATATGTGTAGGAACTGCAGCCGCTTCTTGCCGCTGTTCACCAGCTGCAAGGGGTGGGGGAAGGGGTTGTGTGGAGTGGGGAGAGCGGACGGGGGAAGCAGATTGAGTGTGGTCCCTGAACTTAATAGGCGGCTTGCCGAATGTGTGCAAGAACTGCAAGCGCTGTTCTTGCCGCTGTTCACCAGCTGAGAGTGATGGCCGGGGGGAGGGGGGGGGGGGGGGGGGGGGGGGGGGGGGGGGGGGGGGGGGGGGGAGGGAGAGGGGGGGGAGGGGGGGGAGGGGAGCAGGTTAGTCTCTAGAAGCGGATGGGCGGTTTGCCAATTTTGTGCAAGAACTGCAGTCGCTTCTTGCCGCTGTTCACGAGCTGAGAGAGAGGGGCGCGGGGTGGAGTGCACGGAGGAGGGAGAGGGGAGAATGGGCACTGGGATCAGTGTAGCCCCTAAAGCAGACGAATGGCTTGCTGAATATGTGCAGCAACTGCAGATGCTTATCGCTGCTGAGAGAGGGAGATGCAATTGCAAAATGAGGGAGGCAGGGGTGGGGAAAGCAGGAAAGCGGAGAGGGAGTTGAATCTGCAACAGAGTTGTGGGGAGTGATGCAGGAGTTGCATCTGCAACCTATTCTGATCCAGCTGTGCAGGTGCGCCTGGTGAACAGTGTTGCGGGGAGTGATGGGGGTGGAGTTGGCACAAAAGGCTGCGAAAGCTGCAAACTGTTCCATCCAACTTACGGGCACCTTGATCCCGTAGAGAATTCCCTGCCAGGTCAACGGTGTTCCCGGGAATCCTTTGAGTTTAGTTTTTGCCTGTTGCAACCTGGTTTCATCTCGCTACCATACCTGGTGAACGGTGTTGCGCGGAATGATGACAGTTGAGTTGGGGTGGAAGGGCGTGGAGGCGAAGGGTGCGGGCGACACCTGGTCCGTGGCATTGGGACGGAAGCGCAGCGCGCCCTCGCCCTTTAATATCACCACCACTGTGTCCTGGAAAAGGGGAAAAGGGGATAACGGGGGAAGGGGAAGGGGGTACGTCTGAAGAAAGAGGGCAGGCGACACCTGGTCCGTGGCATTGGGGCGGAAGCGCAGCGTGCCCTCGCCCTTTAGTACCACCACCACTGTGTCCTGGAAAGACGCGGAGAGGGGAGGGGATGGGGGTTAAGGGGAGATCACGGAATCCAGTGCTAGGCAGTCGAAGCACAGCGTGCCCTCGCCCTCCAGTACCACCACCACTGTGTCTTGGGAGGACGCGGAGAGGGGGGTTAAGGGTGGAGAAAGGAAGACAAGTGGATGACGAACATTGGTGAATGAGTGACAGGCAGTGGGGGTGAAAGAGCGACCTCCTGCCCCAGGGTTGGTGTGGTGGTGGTGCAGCAGCGTTGGTATCACCACGGTGTGTTGCTGAGAATCCTCAAAGGCATGGCAGGGAGCGAGAGGGAGAGCAAAGCATGGGGTCTGGTCTGGGGACCGAGGTGGCAGGGGAAAGAGGCAGACAGCAGGCACAGAGTCGCGGCTTTGGGCGGCAAAGATGGTCACGAGTGCAGACAGCAGCTGTTTGTGAGAGTTGGCAGAGCAACCTGCGCGCACTTGTGACGTGACTGACTGTAGCACGCGCTGCTGTGGCACGCACTGCTGTGGCATGCGCTGCTGTAGCAGATACTGCCAGCCTGCAACGCGTTGGCGAGGCCAGCTGGCCAGCTGGCCAGTGGTCAACTTGGGAGTCTGCCCCACCGCTCCCTCCTTCCCACCTGATTTGCTCCTGGATGCAACCTCCCCTCTCATTCCTCGTCCCTCATCCCTTTCACCCCTCCACCCCCTATCTCAGCTCAGCACCTGTTCCCACGAGCGAACGCTGGTGTGGTGGAGTAGCCAGGGGCAAACGTCTGAAGTGAAGCCACACCTCCACGCCCTCACGCAGTGACCACCGCCGCCCTTTCCCTTGCCATGCCACTCACCTGCTGCTCTACCCGCTCTCCCCTGCACCGCCTCTCCCTCCCTTCCTTATACCCCCTTCAACCCCTCACTCCCTCATCCCCTCAGCCCACATCCCCTCCTCGCCCTCTCACCTGTTCCTGCGAGCGCAGGTTGGTGGAGTAGCCAGGGGCGAACGTCTGAAGCCAAACTTCCACGCCCTCACCCTCACATAATGACCACCGCTTCCCTTTCCCATCCCACCGCCTCTCCCTCAGTTGCCCGTCCCGCTTCCCCCCCACACCCTCACCTGTTCCTGCGAGCGCACGTTGGTGGAGTAGCCCGGGGCGAACGTCTGAAGCCACACCTCCACGCCCTTGTTGCCGTGATGGATGGCGCCTGATAGTGTCACGTGCACCAACCCATCAAACCCAAAGTTCTCTGGCGAGCATTGGGAAAAAGATGGGGAGGAAGGGTGAAGGAGCGTGGGATGTGCAGGGGTACAAGTCAGGCCACCTCCACGCCCTTGTTGCCGTGATGGATGGCGCCTGACAGCGTCACGTGCACCAACCCATCAAACCCAAAGTTCTCTGGTCGCAGCAATGGGAGCAGTGGGGAGTAGGGGAGAAGAGAACTTTGGGACGTGCGGGACATGGCTCAAGCCACCTCCACGCCCTTGTTGCCGTGATGGATGGCGCCTGACAACGTCACGTGCACCAACCCCTCGAACCCAAAATTCTCTGGTGGGAGGTGACGAGGGGAGGAGGAAAGAAGGGAGGAGGGGAGAATGAGCTTACCCTTATGTTGCATTCACCATTGTTAAGAGTGCTAATGCTGCAATTACCCTTAATCAGCTTGCACATCTTTACACTTACCCTGACACAGATCGTTAAGGCTCTGAGATTACAGTTGTACGGAGTGTTACAGCTCGAAAATAACCCAGTTGTGATGGCTAAAGTCGAACTTACCCTGGTGAAATGACTACTGCTTCGGACTTACCCTGGTGAAAGGTCTACTGTTTCGAACTTACCCTGGTACAGCTTGTTAATCTTCTGCACCACGGGTCGCTCCGTGAAGCACATGGGCTGCGCGTCCGCGCGCCGTGACGCACAGGCGAGCACGAGCGCGCCGATGCACACCAGCGCGAACGCGAACGCGCGGGGTCTGCTGCCGTTACCTGACGGCCGCGGCTCCATTTTCCAGCCGACTGGCTAATCAATCTGCCAGCTAGTCGTGCGGGCCTGAGCGATAGTCCGAAACTCAGGGAAGTACCGGGGTGGTTGGGGGAAGGGAAGGCGCTAGCGCAATAAGCGGGGAACGCAGCAATGGCGGGGAATGGCGGGGAATGGCGGAGGTGACAGTGGTCAGAATTGTTGGGGCTTGGCCATTCTGATGGGCTTGGCAGAACCAAGGGATGAAATTCAGCTAGCATTCAGGCGAGCTACGCGGCTGGGTGTGCGTGGCTACCTCGTGTTTTTGTGCGGTGCAGTCGGGTTTCAGCGGTGTTCGTGAATGGTTACGCAAGGTACAGAAAGAGGCAATGAGGTTCCAGAAATATGCACCCAGGACTCGCATTCCACTCGAGTCACCCGATACTGTAAGAGCGCGCAAACTCTGGAATCTTCTAATTTGTTTTCATTTCTCGCTGAGATTCAGAGCTTATAAAAATTATGAAAGCACACTTCATCATACTATCCTCAAAGAGCCTTCAGATTTGATAAATTCAATTATCCTTTTTTACTCTGATTCAAACTGTAGTCGGTGCAAAACCACCCCATTTCTAGCAGCTGCATTTCTTCCCCACCGACCTAGTCGTGGCTCCTGCGGGCATGGAATGCGGGTGGATGTGCAAGTGCCATATGGGATGACAGTAGTGAGCAAGAGCATGATGACAAAGACCGAAAGAGAGTAAGTGTGGGAGAGAGATAGGGTTGGGTACAAACAGACAAACAGGCAGGGAGAGAAGAATCGTTACAATCACGAGAACCGTTACAAGCACACCCCCCTGTCACTAACCTGGCCGATGCTTGCGATGACGAAATCTGATCGGTGTGTATGAAGAAGTGTTATAAGACGTCTCAAAACACTTGTTCATACAAGCATACCCCTCTGTCACTAACCTGGCCAATGCCTGCGATGACGAAGTCTGATCGGTGTGCAAACGCAATGGAGTTAATGAAGCCAACCTGGAAGAAAGGGCACAGGTGGAGCGAGAGAGGGAGGGCCATAGAAGAGCTTTGAGAATAAGGCATGACAGAGCCCGGTTGAACAATCAAGCACCCCAACAACCGGGCTCAATATCTAGGAGCCGCTGATAACAGTTTATGGGTTATCAGATCAGTGATAGTGGTTCAGGGAAACGGGGGAATAAGTGGGGGAAGGGAACAGGGGTGAGGGGTAGTAGCGAGCTGGCGACACCATTCCATTCCAGCCAGCCACTGCAACGCACCGTTGGCAGTGACCCCACTGGTCGCAGCCGGTTTGCTGACGTGTCGCAATGCCACAGCCTGAGAGCACCGTCGCCCGCCCCGCTGGCTGCCAGATCAGAGCCGGGCGCCACGGCCACAGCCCCCACCCACGACTGCACTGCACTCGGTGCTGCAGCAGGCGATGCGACAGATGGAGCAGCAGTGAAGGGAGCAGCAGTGGCAAAGGGAGCAGCTTCAGGGGCAGCATCTGCTGGTTGTTGGGATGAAATGCCATTTGGTAAGCCATTCTGAGCAGCATCAGACGCAGCAGGTGTACCAGCAGCAACATCAGCGCCAGAAGCAGCAGCAATGGTGGCAGCAGCAGCGGCAGCAGCGGTACCATGGGCTGCGCGCACGACATGCACGGGTTTCTTCTTGAGGGCGGACCAGAGGGACAGTGACCCATCGTCACCCCCCGTGATGAAGGCAGAGGGCGAGAGGAATGCACACGAGTCCAGACAGGACGGCGCGGGCGCTCTGAACACCAGCTGCGTCTCCTCTGGTACCTGCCGTGGGATGGAGGGTGGGGAGGGGAAAGAGGAACATTAGGAACAGCCTGTAATGAAGGAAGGGCGCGAGTCCAGACAGGGCGGCGCCGGCGCTCGGAACACCAGCTGGGTCTCCTTGGGTACTTGCGGATGGAGAAGAGGGGGACTGGTGGGATGGATGGGGGAGGGAGGGAGCGGTGGGTTGGATGGGGGAGAAGGCGGGAGAGTGCACATGGCAGAAGGGGAGCGGTGGGATAGGGGGGGAAGAGGGGAAGGGGGAGGGGGAAGCAGGCATTGAGGAGTGCAAAAGCACTGGGAGGAAGGGCTCCCAGTGCAGAAGTGGAGGCATAAAGGAACAGACGCACCACACAGCAACTGGCCACGCCTCACGGCCTTGCCTGCCCTTGCGTTCCTTTGGGTGCTGAACGTGGTATAGGGTTAAACATAAGGGGGGCTCACGACAGCAGAAGCACAGGAAGATGAGCACAAGGCAGCTTTCCAACCCCACAGACCCCAAACCCACATGCCCTCCCCGTCACACCTTCCACGGTCCCCATCAGATAATACCTCCCGCCCGCAGGCATGGCCCACCAAACATGCACCTTTCAAGGCACAGTCAATCGCCACGAACACCAATTCACACCTTCCCCCAGGCATACCCCCTCCTCCCGCACCCGCCACCCCCCACCTCCACACCTACAAAAGCTGACAGGTATGGTCTCTTGCCACAGAGATTACCCTCTGAGGTGCGGCGGCTGCTTGAGAGTCTGCCGCTCCAGATAGCACCTCCCCCACACAAACCTTCCAGAGCCGGCAGGTGCAGTCCCTGGCCACCAGAACGACCCTCTGTGGTGCCACTATGTCCGCCTGATATAGATCTCCGTCCCTGCCTCCCGTTCCACCCCTTCCCCACCCCTTCCCCACCCAGACGCACCTTCCAGAGCCTGCAAGTGCGATCTCTCGCCACAGACACGACCCTTTGTAGCTGCCTGAGCGCCTGCAACGCCACTATCTCCGCCTGGTGTACTCCCCCCCAAACCACCCCTCCACTCCACCCCTTCCCCACCCAGACGCACCTTCCAAAGCCTGCAAGTACGGTCCCTCGCCACGGACACAACCCTCTGTGGCTGCCTGAGCGCCTGCAGCGCCACTATCTCCGCCTGGTGGCCAAACAGCGAATCCATGTACGCCACGTCAGCGCAGCTCCACAGCTTGATGCTGCGGTCGGCGGACGAGGAGAAAAGGTCGAGCGACGCCGGCCGGAAGGAGAGCGACATGACTGCGCCCCTGTGGCCGGCAAACGACTGGCGTGGGGCAAAGAGGGAAAGGGGAGGGGAGGATGGAAGAGGAAAGGGATTGAGTTAGGAAGGAGAGCGACATGACTGCCCCCCTGTGGCCGGCAAAGAACTAGAAGAGGGAGCAGGGGAGAGGGGGAGGGAGAGCGTGTGCGTGGGTGGGGAGAGAAAAGGAGATGGAGGAAGAGGAGAGGGAGAGAGTGAGGCAGGAGAGTGACATGACGGCCCTTCTCTGGCTGGTAAAAGGCTGCTTCCCTCTGCCCCGTGCGCTCCACAGGTACACCACGCGGCAGCAGCCCCCACTGTTGAGCTCTCATGCGCCCCTAACCATGATCTGTAAACCACACACTAGACTCCAAAACCCGAAACCCTAACCCCTGCCCCTCACCCTGATCTGCAAACCACACACGAGTCTCCAAAACCCCGAAGCCTGATCCTTGCCCCTCACCTTGACGTGCGTGCGCGTGCGCGCGTCCCACAGGTGCACCATGCGGTCGAGGCCCCCCGCCGCCAGGTATCGCCCGTCGTCGCTCACACTCACGCTCAGCACGTGCCGGCTGCTCTTCCCCCCCTTCCCCTTCCCCTTATTCCCCCCTCCTCCTCCGCCACCCGCTCCCGCGCCCCCATCTGACCGGGAGTTGGGGTTTGAGTTTTCGGGCCAGGGGAACTTAAAGCTCGTTCCCGATTCGATGTCCCAGCCTACAATTAGTCCGTCCTTTGATACCGCGTAGCCCGCTCTGTCGTCCAATGAGAGCGCGACACCTGTCACCGACTGCTTATGTCTGCGTCCCACTACCTGCCCTGGCAATGCTGATGTGGACGAGATGAAACGTGTCGCGATTCGCCGGATCACCCTGCCGCTCTCTTCTAACGCATCTTGCTTTAATCGGGCAGCTATTAACGCGTCCTGCTCCTCTCTTAAACCCTCGCCCCCCTCCTCCTCCCCCTCCTCTTCTCCATCCCCTTCCTCCGCCTCCTCCTCGTCTTCGCTCTCCCCCTCCCCGCTTCTATCCTCCGCCTCTTCCGCCTCTTCGTCCGCCTTCTCCCTCGCGGCCAGCGCCGCTGCTCGCTTCACTTCCGACAGGTATGACCGCGCAATGCGCAGGCGCTTCGCCTCCGCGCTCTCCGCCAAGCGCGCATCCTCCCCCTCCCCTTCCGACCCGAGTTCCGCGTCATCTTCCGCCGCCTCCTCCGCCCGCGCGAAAAACGACTCCTCCCGCTCCCCGTCGTCAATTAACTCGTTCCGAGCTCGTTTCCGCCCGCCTCCCCCTCCCCCCGCGCGACCTCTTCCGCCAGAACCTGCTTTTCCGCCTCTGCCCCGCCCGCCACCGCCTCCCGATCTCCCCCCACGTCCCCGCCCGCGGTCACCGCCGCGGGCGCGATACATCATGCCTCCGCAATTCGCGAAGACGAATCGCAGCACTCTTTCTTTTCCGACGCCAACTCACGCGACGTCCGGGGAAATTCTCCAAGCCGTCGGGTCGAGTCCCGCACGTCACGACCAGCTGCAGATTGCGATGGCTGGATGTGTGATCTATTCGAGCGGGTTTCGCAGGTCGGGTTTGGGTTTGGGGGATGGAACGAGGCGTGGTGGGGCAGAATGGCTCGTTATTGCAGAAAGCTCAATGATGGGTGTAGACAACTGGATCAAAATTGTATGTTTCTTTTTGCACTATAAACCAGCATTTTCTCAAATTCTCATTTTTTGTCAATATATTCAGAGTACCTCATAACGGTATATTTGAACCAGCATTTTATTTCAGAACGGGTTTTTTTAGGTATTGGCTCAGTGTTTTCACAACCACAACCAAAAACTGTAAATGGATCCAAAAGCTAAAAAATGAGTGTTTGAAAATATGGAAATACTATAGCAAACATCTAACACGCAGTCCACCTCAATGAAAAAAAGTAATGAACACAAAAAGAGGGGCTGTACTCTTTATATCCCACCTCATCTGCCTGCATGCGACCCACATCTACGTCCCACATCTACCTCCACACCTAGCTCCATGTCTTCACCCCATCCCCTCAGCATCTCGCAATGCAGTTCCGACCTAAACCGTCAGCACCCAACGATGCGGCACCGGCCCAACCGCTCAGCACCCCACAATACAGTACTGGCCATTATCGGAGGGCCAGGCGCAGGAGGGTGGGCCAGCAGCATAGTCCGGCACGCGGGGGACCACCACCGCCGTGCCGCCAAAGAAGCACGTGCCAGGCTGGCGGTGGTTCTGCTGGAAGTACGCATTGAAGGCGTGCGATGCATGCATTGCCAGTGCTCCATTCCCCTGCCAGCAAGCCCCTCCCGGCAGTATGGGAGAGCAGTCCACTCCGCCCGGCCCACATGCCCAGTCAAGCGCCCTCTGCACCGCCCCCATGTCTGCTGCACACCCAGCCCTTCCCCCTGCGCCCCCACCCGGCGCCACCGCACCTCTGGGAGGGTAATCCGGCTCGGGGGAGTATTCAGGGTATACCGGGTTCACGAGGCCCTGCGGGGGAGAGTAGGGGTCAGGGAGGGAATTGTAGGGGTCTGGGATCTCCTGGCAGGCAGCAACACAAAACTGCCCGTTGGACGAGGGGAAGGTGCAGGCGGGGGAGGCAGCAGCAGCATAGTCGGGCACGCGGGGAACCACCACAGCGTTGCCGCCGAAGAAGCAGGAGCCGGGGCGGTGCGCGTGCGAGTGGAAGATGGAGTTGAAGGCGACGGAGGCGTGCAGGGCGAGGTTGCCCGGCTGGAAGCAGGGACCCCCCGGCTGGATGGAGGAGCAGTCTGCGCCGCCCGGCCCGCACGCCCAGTTGAGCGCGGAGAGGAGGGAGTTTGGGGCGACGCCGCAGCGCAGGTGGTGAGGCGTGGTGGGCGGAGGGATGGTAGGGTGAGGGATGGTGGGGGGTGGGATGGTGGGGGGGATGGTGGGAGGGGTGGTGGTGGGGGGAGGAGTGGTGGTAGGAGGAGGGGTGGTAGTTGGGGGAGGGGTGGTTGGAGGAGTGGTGGAGGGGGGAGGGGTGGTGGGGGGAGTGGTAGTGGGGGGAGGGGTGGTGGGGGGAGTGGTAGTGGGGGGGGGGGTGGTGGGGGGTGTGGTGGTGGGAGGAGGTGTGGTGGGTGGGAGGACCGGGGGGATCGGGACGCCATCAGCAGGGGGGTTGACAGGAGTGGCATCATCTGCATCACCGTCAGCAGCACCACCATCATCCGCATCACCACCATCCTCAGCATCACCACCATCATCGGCGTCATGATCATCAGTACCACCACCGGCACCACCATCATCAGCATCGCCATCACCAGCAGCACCACCATCAGCAGGGGGGCCAACAGGAGTGGCATCATCAGCATCGCCATCACCAGCAGCACCACCACTTGCACCACCATCATCGGCATCACCATCATCATATGATCCATCCCCTTCTGCTGGGTCGGGAGTGCTCACTGCCCCTCCACTGCTGCCACCACTGTCGGTGCCACCAGTGCTGCCGCTGCTGCCACCACTCCTAGTGCTACCACCGCTGCTAGTTGTGCCGGTGCTACCAGTGCTGCCAGTGCTGCCAGTGCGGCCACCACTGCCACTGGAGCCACCGCTGCCAGCACCGGGAATGGCAATCACCCCTCCACCAGAGCTGCTGGAGCTTCCACCTCCTCCGCTCCCAGACGCCCCCCCTGCCCCCTCTCCCTGCGCATGCCCCTGCCTCGCTGTGCTGGCAACCAGGGTGCTGTGCTTCGCTGCCCTCGCCACTGGCACCGCCACCACACCTGTTCCCACGGCTTGCACTGGCTTGGCTCGGGCGGGCTTGGCTCGGGCCGAACCTGCATGCTGGTTTGCTGCCACATGGGCAGAGGGATGGGGTTTGCCATTGTGGTGGCCAGGTGTGGCATGGGCCGAACCGCCGTGATAGTTGCCCGGACGCTTCACCGGCTTGGCTTGGGAGCCCGAGCCTCGAGCCCCGGCTTGGCGCTTGACCGGCTTGGCTCGGGTAGCTCGGTTCGGAGGAACAGGCGTGGGACGTATCACGGCACGTGGGGGACGGCGAGTAGCAGCAGCGCGGGGGAGCATGGGCTTGAGTGCTGCAGTGCTGTCAGCACTGTCAGCAGTGTCAGCAGTGTAATAGTCACCGCCAGTGGGGTAAAGAGAGTCCTCAGCATCAGAAGGTTCAGAGAAATACGAGTCGTCACCGCCATTCTCAGCGTCGTTACTCCCATAATCGCCCCCCCATGTGCTGCTGCCATCGCTGCCCGTACCATCTTCCCAACCTCCGTCCGAACCATCCGAGCCTCCCTCCGAGCCTCCCTCCGACACATCCCAGCCCCCTCCAGAACCATCATCCCAGACTCCACCCGAGCCGTCATCCCAGCCTGCATCCGAACCGTCGTACCATTTCGAGGCCGCAAAATCTTCCCACTCTCCACCCGAACCATCTATCCAACCTCCATCCGACCCATTAAGCCACTCTCCTTCCGAACCTCCTTCCGAGCCACTGTCCGAGCCATAGGCCGAGCCATAGTCCGAGCCAAAGTCCGAGCCTCCCATCCTGCCGTTCTGCTCATCTATGGCGTCCAGCATCGGCCAATCACCGCCCGCGCTCTCCTCACCCACCGAACCACCGTCCGAACCTGATCCCGAGTCAGTGTATCCCGCCAAAATCCCTCCCGGGGGACCTCCCATCTTCGCGTTTTGCTCCGCCATAGAGTCCAGTATCGGGTTACTGTATCGAACCACACTGTGCTGTCGAGGCGCCCATCGACCGTGGCGCCCATTATGCGGTCGGCCGAGCCGCTGCATGCTGTCGTAGGCCGGACCGCCGCCGCCGCCGGCGCTGGAGGCGGCGCGAGGAACCTCCTCGAGAATTTCCACCTCGTCGCCGTCGCGGTCAGTCCCGTCGAAAACTTTCACTGTCCGCCCCGTGCCGCGGTCAAACTCGAAAGTGCCACCATCGCTGTCCGTTACTAGAAGCTCGCGCGGACGAAATCGATGCCCTCCGCCGAGCCTGGCCTGGTGTCCGGGCCTGCGAACGAGCCTCGGTGCGTGGCTCGTAACGAGCATCCTGGCTCGCGAATTCCAGGCTCGGAGAGTTTCTGGGCGCGGCAGCCGCCTGCGCGCGAAGCGGACGGCATCATGGATGGGCGGAGTAGTGGCGGAAGGGGGGGAAGGCGGAGGCGGAAGATCGGGGCTCGAGGCCGCGCGGAGATGGTGCAGATGCGCGATGGTTGGGCGCAGCTGGTGGCTCGTGCGGTGCTGGCTGCTGTGTCTGCGCGCGCGCGCCGGCATGGGCTCGGCACGCGGGCCTGTTGCGTAGTACCGGCTCGGGAAGAACCTTCCGCGGCCTGCGACGGACTGGAGAGCGCATGCGACGAGTAGGAGGACGACCGCGACGCGTGCGGACGCCATGATTGCGACTAACCTAGCAGAGCAGTGCCCTAGTACAGCGACCTTTCGTCTGTGTCTCGTGAAATGTGCTGTAGCAATCAGCAGGCTTCTGTGTTTTCTGTTCCTCGTACAATTTATAAGGGAGTTGTATGAAGACGGGTTATTCTACAACGTTCTATGTTCGACTTCGCAAATTCTAAACAAGTTGTGAATCTGTGAGGACAAGCATTGGGTTATGAAGCGAGGGTGGAAGAAGGATGAGGCGGGGGGGATGAGAAGCAGAAGCTGCAGCAGCAAGAAATGCCACGCACCGCTGGCAGTCAGCCGAGCCAATTTCGTCTCGGTAACAAATCCAGCGCAGCAGATGTCAGAACTCATCACCCCCCATTGCATCCACGAAACCGTCCATTTCGCCTGGGTCGCCCAAACCTGCCTTGGTGGAATTCGCTGTGACGGGTTACCGGGAACTCGTGGGCTCGCCAGCACCACCTCTGACTGCTGTCGATCTTCGCTGGACCCGGCAGGGATGGGTTTTGCAAACACGCACTTGCCACGTGTTTCTTTATCCGCTTATGCGACTGCCTGACGAGAACCAGGTGTGTGCGACCTCGCAGGACTGACAACCAGGCGAAGCCAGAAGGGGCATATTCCGAAAGTTGACTGCAGCGACTGGGCTGGCGAATGCTGGGGGGTGACGTGGAAGAGCAGGTCAACCGCTTCATATACGCGATTTGAAATCCATGAGCGGGTGGAATGGGAGACCACTGGTTTACATATGACGAGTTACCCGCCCTCAGTGTACGCTTGTGATGAAACCATAGTATAATTTCCTGTAAATGGCCATGCTTGAGATAAGTTTCCAACTCATTCGTATTTAATCTTACTATTGTAGGAAAAACCACGAGAATAATTATCTTTTCTTGAATAAACTAAGATACTTCAAGTATTTAAGGGCAATGTGTAAGGAATTTTCTCGGCATTCCTTACGGAGTCCGGCTACATCGCGTACAACACTGCCGTTTGTTCGCCCGTTACTGCTAACGGGACTTCGCCACTTCGCGCGCACTGTTTTGCCAAACCTCGCACTGCTGGCCCGGCCGTGTCGGCCTACGCTTCGGGACTAGCCCGAGCCTCGCTGCCAGCGTAGCACTAGCTAGCTCGCACGCACCGCGTTACCGTTTGCATGTTCGCATACAAATGTTCGCTCATGCCTTCGCTCACATCTTTGTACTCGTTTGACACTCTAGTGCAATCCTCGCTACCTCGATCCATTGCACCCGTAACACTTGGTATCAGAGCTTCTTTCCTTTTCGGACCGCGCATCTCCGCACCCCAGGAAATCAACTTTTGATTTTTCACTCGAAGGGACGCACGCACCTTAGCCCCTAGGAGCCGCTGTCCTCGCGTTCTCTCGTAAACGCGTGCAGCCACGACTGCGCCTAGACTAAGCTGAGCCGACGCCCTTCGCCATGGCCGAACACATCGACGTCACCACTCTCACGCAGGAGCGTCTGAACGAACTGCTGCAGCAACTTCGCGAAAGTTCCGAAGAAATCGCAGCGCTGACGGCAGAACGCTCGTCCCTGCAAAACGACCTCACGAGAGCACAATCCCAAGCACCTGGCACTCCGGAGCAGCCCGCACCCTCGACATCGCAACACGGAAGTGTGGGGCAACCCGCGAGCGCGGCTGGTGATGGCGTCGTCCGCCCCGACGGAGACGACGACCACGGCACGACACACCTCGAGGCGACGATTGCGGCCCCAAGCTGGCCCCGCGTCACGAGTTCGGCACCGACTCACGATTCGGAGCTGCCGTCACCGATGCCGCTGAAGCCGCAGCGTCCGCCATGCTTTGACCCGAGTCAACGGGGTGGTCCTACCGTTCAGGCGTGGTTGTTCACGATGAACGTGTTTTTCGACGCCAACTACGTCTCGGAGGATACGGCGAAAATTCGCTACGCCGTGTCGCTGCTGCGAGGACCCGCCATGGATTGGTGGCGCGTCATCGTCACGAAGCCGAATGACTACGCGACTCTACCGACACGGGAAGGACAAACCGGACCCTGGGCGCCGTCGTATTTCGTGGAGGTGCCCCAATATCGCACGTGGGACGCGTGGTGCGCAGGTCTGCGCGCTCGATTTGAGCCAATTGCGGCTTCGATCGCGGCGCGACAGAAGCTCCGCACTTGGCGCCAACTCGGTTCCGTCCAAGACTACACCAGCGGGTTTCTGGCGCTATGCGAGCAAGTGGGATACATGCACGAGAGCGAGCGCGTCGACCGCTACATCGGCGGCCTGAAGCACGACATCGCTCAGGAAATCCAGCTTCGCGGCGTCACCGACTTTCAGGAGATTCTCGCTATGGCGGAGAAGCTCGACTTCTTCCGCCGACCGAGACCGGGGTCCTACGGCAGTAGCAGCAACTGGGGACATCGGTCTCGTGGGACGAACGAGGGCGCTACGATACGTGCCGTCGCCGCGAATGCTGCTGTCGCACTGTTCAAAGGGCGCTGCTTCGCGTGCAATCGGCCGGGACACCGCAAGAGCGAATGCCCGGAAAACGCTAAGGGAAAGGGGGAAGCTGAGCAGCAGAAACAGACCAAGCAGCAGGGAAACGCTGGGAGTCAGTAGCAGACGGGCCCTCTACTGACAGGTCAGGCCCGACCCAACCTACCCTCACTGAGTGATTGTGCCGGTTCATGCAGTCGACCACACTCGGCCCCATACTGCTTAGTGGGAAAATAGGCACGGACTTAGTTAAAATCTTCGTAGACGGGGGAGCCAGCCACAGCCTCATCAACACTGCCACGGCACGGAAGCTGAAACTGCCACTGGACAACTGCTTACCTGAGATCGATGCACTACTAGTTGACGTCACGCCGCTGGCGATAAAGGAACGCGTAGACCGGGTTCGGATTCGATGCGGGGGTAACTTCACGTTTAGCCAGGAAATGCTCGCAACGACCCTCGACGGAACCGATATTTTACTCGGTCGTGATTGGTTGCGACGAAACAATCCGCGAATCGACTGGACGACGGGTGACTGCACCGTGCGAGTGAACGGTAACAACATCGCCTTACCTCGCTGGGGCGTGCCTGAGTCTTCGTTGGTGCGTGTCAACGCGATCACGATGAAACGCGCCGTAGCGGCAGGAGCTGACATAGCGGCGCCGTAGCGGCGCGCTGTATGCGGTTGACATTCCGGAAGCCGAAGCAGCAGACCAGATGGGGGATTTACAGAAACTGCTTGCCGACGTACCGGATGACTTGGCAGCACTCCTGATGTTAGAATGAACAAGTGTTGTTGGACTAGAAGGAAATGAGAGTACAAATAGGAAACCCTAGAGTTGTGACCCCCCTATAGGCTAACCCACTACAGCCTACACAAATATAACATATAATGTTTGACACACCCCCATAGGCGAAGTGGGGAGAGCAAGGGGTCACAAACCCAGTCAAAGCAAAGCAACACAAGCTCAGGGTGGATCTCAAGGATACCACACAAATTCCGAGCACAAGCAAGTGGTCACAAGACCAGTTCACATGCAGTTTGATAATACAGTAAGAGATACAGTGAACACAACCTAGCAGGTGTAAACATGCAGGTATATATATAGAGATCACAGTACAAGCAAAGTCAAGAGGTAAGCAAGTGAGGTCCAGTAGGCACAAGGCCTAGAAGAGTACAGAAGCGCTGATGGTCACAAGGCTGAAGCGCCTTGGTGAACATATCAGCAGTGTTGGCCTCAGTGGCTACGTAACGCAGACGAAGCTGACCACGCTGCTGTAGCTCTCGTGCAAGGAAGTACCGCAGGGCGATGTGCTTCGTTCTATGCTCCAGTCTGTGCTCCTCACACAAGGCAATGGCAGCCTTGTTGTCGACGTACAGCACTGGAGGAGAACGAGGCCGCTCTCCCAAGTCAGTCAGCAGGTAGGTGAGCAAGCGTAACTCCTGGGCCGCCATGGCTGTGGCGTAGATCTCAGCCTCACAACTGGAGCTGAGAACAGAAGAAGAGCGTGTAGAACGCCAAGAAACTGAGCCAGAGCCAAGGCTGAAGGTGTAACCCTGAGACGACCGCTGAGTAGCCTGGTCGTCCGCCCAAGAAGCGTCTGAGTGTCCAGTAAGTACAACTCGGTCTCGCCCTCCAAGCACTAGCCCCATGCCCGACGTACTGCACAAGTAGCGCAACACCCTCTTAGCAGCATCCATGTGCTCCTTCCTGTGACGGCCAGGAGCGACATAGCGTGCAAGGATGCTAAGAGGGTATGCAAGGTCAGGTCGAGTGCAGGTCATCAGGTACATGAGACAGCCCACAA